AAAAAAAAAAAAAAAGGAAGTATCAGATCCAGGACCTGACCCAAGGTCCTGACCTCCATGCTATGCCATATGATTCTTTTATTAGACTATACCAGCACAATCCTTCCCTATGGTCACACATACATGGAATTCTGCCATCAAGCTAAAGAAAAGCAATAAATCTAAGGCTTAACAGTCATCTTCTCTGAAAGTCACAAAAACCAGGGGATGAAAAGAACGTGAAGATTCGAGCCTGGCAGCCTTGGTTTCAAAGTCCAGTTCCCCTGTTTACCAGCTGTGTGCCTTAAGCAAGTTGCTTAATCTCTAAGTCTTGGTTTTATCTTCTATAAAATAAAAGTACATCAGCTCTCTTCTAGTCTGTCATGAGAATTAAATAAGACAATACATTTAAAGCATGTAGCTGTAGCACATAGCAACACAATGAACACAAAATAATTGCTAGATATTATTATACTTGCACCAGTGAGTCTGCAAATCTCACCAAGCGGGAGCTACACAAACAGATTTCGAGATGCAACATCTGCATCAACTGGGAGCAACATACCGCAGTGCACATTTTATAGCCAACACCAAAGTCAAAACGACATTGCTCATCCATAGAGTAATTGATTCCAGGAAGTTCTGGGAGTTTAGGCCAATCATGATCAAAAGGGTCATCAAGGAGACAGTCATAGGAACTGTAGGAAGAAAAACATTGCATGTAGTTAAATGTTCATTAAAAAAAATCAGGTCCTGATTTAAAAAAAAAGTAGTCTTTGCTTATATACTTTAGAATTTCATCACAGATCATACAGCAATTTTGCAAAAACATATATTTAAGGTTTTGGTTTCGGTTCCATTTAGAAAAAGACTCTTTACCTGTATTCATGCCAGGAAAGTAAACCAAGCATGACTTAGGAGTGTAGTAGAGCCACGATTATTTGAGTCACTAATTAAACCACCACATGGTGTGGTAGGGCACATCCTGACACCTATACTGTAGAGCACAGCTGGTACCATATGCAGGAACCACATGACCGTCCTCCCCGCAACCTCAAGTTTGACCATTAATCAAAGATTCTATAACAACTTACTAAAGGAAAATTACATTACAGTTAAAAATTTACTTATATTGTAGACTAATGGCTTCAAGTATTATGACTCCATGATAAAATTGTTGTGCCGAATCTTCTAAGTCATAAGAAAATGTTTATTATCAATAATAGTTTTCATTTACTAGGAATTTTGCTATGATCAAGTCCTAAGAGTCAGTTTTATGTCTGTAGGCTATAAAATAAATACTTTCATGACACGCAGCAGGGGACATACTGGATATATCTTTTCAATTCTTGACCACTGCATCGGGACCAGTGGTAACGATGGAATGCGGCTTGTACCAAGGGAGCCATGACACTTCCCATAGCAGTCTCATCACCACACCTGTTGCCTTGTCCATCATGCTCCATTCCCAACCTAGAACACAAAAAGACCTCAGTGGTAAGAATCAGGGGCTACTGCCTTCACTTAATTTTGGTTTTGAAAATAAGCCCTGGGAAATAACGTATTTTTAAGTCAGCGTGGCTTTCTTGAAGAAGTCACAGAAACAGAAATTGACAGCAACCTGACAGAAATGCCTTTCTTATTCTATAGCTCTGAAAACCACAGGAGTGCCTCTGCAAGCCAGTCACTCATTTAGTTTCAGTGCATGACCTCTTCTCTGTTTGCAGTTCTTCACACTTGGCAAAAGACAAGAATTGCATGCTGGCATGCATTCTGCCCAAAGAGGAAACAATACTGGGAGAAGCAGGAAAGAAAAGATCTTTTTTTGGCTTTATAGCTGTCAGCAGTGACTTACACATGGCCTGTTTCATGGGCTACTACAAAAGCAGATGAAAAACCATCCTCATGATTCAGGGTACAACTTCTCACTGGATGACACATGCCGGTGACTGGAGCATATCCTGTAGAGAATAACAATTACTTTTATTTTCATTTTATGAGAAGACTCATTAAGAATTACAACTGGACCTTTGCCTAGGGGAAAAAAACTAAAAGCCTTTCAGGAAACAGGGGCAGCTTTATTTCCCTACTAGCATTGTGTCACATTCTCTTGGGAAAGCCACAGGTAACAGTCTCTAAAAAGATTCACTGTGTCTGCATTTCCTCCTTTCCTAAGGGAAGGAATGGCCCGGGGTTACCATTCTCTTCTGCCCACCAGCTAAGCCCTGTCTTTCTGTTTTAGTAAATGGTCCTTCACATCGTGGTACTGATGAAGGAAGCCAGAAGTTCCATCAATGTTGAAAAGAAAATCATCAGTCTGCTTCTTCCAAAGTCCACATCAGAATTTATTAGATAAATGTAAGCTGACTTTGGAAGAAAGCTCTTTGGCAGCAGTCATTTCTCATGGCATCTCTTTTTTCATTCCAAGCAGTTAGTGGAAATCACACTGCATTTTACAGCATCCCCTCCATGCCCCAAATGCACAATCACTATTTTAAAAGCAAGTATAATTTATGATGGTATTTAAGTGGCTTTAGCATTGAGAACTCCACAGAAGTCACTGGAAGCATCAGAAAGAAAATGTATGCTTGGCTGGAGTGTGGTGGAAAATGGTGGTGGAGAGCTGAACATTTGAACAGACTGCCTGATTTAGGATTGCTTTTTAAAAGTCATGACCTTAAGTATTTCTTCTACATATTGATGGCAATACCTTGCATTCCAGCAGGTCCAAAGTCTTGCCTGGTTAAAAAAATTGCATGGTCATGGTGTTCAGAGTGGTTGAGATCAGATCTTTGTTGCTGGGATGCCCAGCGACACACATTCTCCAAGCTTCTGGATGGGTTTCCCCTTTCTATGAGGCTGATGGACTAAGAGAAAACAATATGTTAAAGCCACACATGACAATTTCCCAAAGGCTTCGTTTGATAATTTTCTCTGAAGTTGAATTTGAGATTAAAGTATTTAAACAATGATTCAATAATATTTAGGGCTTATTTTGATATTCACTGTGATTTATGAATTCTAAATGCCCATGAAGGGTATTTTAATAATAATTTTACCTGTGTGAAAGTCAAATAATGCCATTTATGAGAATAGTTTTGTTACGTTTGAGAGAGAATCTCACAATTTTACCTGTGGGAAAGTCAAGTGATACCATTTATGAGAATGGTTTTGTTTTGTTTGAGACAGAATCTCACTCTCTCACCCAGGTTGAGGTGCAGTGGCATGATCTGAACTCACTGCAACCTCTGCCTCTCGGGTTTAAGCAATTCTCGTGCCTTAGCCTCCTAAGTAGCTGGGATTACAGGCGTCCACCATCATCCCTGCTATTCTTTTGTGTGTGTGTGTGTGTGTGTGTGTGTGTGTATGTGTGTGTGTGTGTGTATTTTTAGTAGAGACGGGGTTTCACCATGCTGGTCAGGCTGGTCTGAAACTCCTAACCTCAAATGATCTGCCTGCCTTGGCCTCCCAAAGTACAGGAATGTTTGATACTGAGATTTGCTATTGTGAGGCAACTTAATATTAACCATTTAGGTAATAATTTTAGTAGTCTAAATAATTCCTGGTTCAGCTTAGATTTGAGTTTCATAGAAGTAAGAACAAAAATATTGAGAAAGATTCTGGCATGTTTTTCCAGAGATGTGAATGTATAAAATATTAATTAAGATTTTTGTTTATTTTTTATGATCCAGAATTAATCAACATTTGGGGAGAATATGAATTCTTCCATGAGTTGGCAAGGCTGGTGAAATCTTAGTCTATGGAGAACCATCAAATTACATTAACTTTACACTAAAAAACAAAAAGAAAAACTCCCATTTTTTTAAGCTTTACGCTACTGAAGAGGGGTGGACTCTTCCAGTTCTGATATAAGAAAAGAAGTTCGTTGAATGTTGCTACCATCACATTAGGGTCAGGAGTTAAAAGTTCAGGAGGAAAAGGGCCCAACCTTCAAGAACCCACTAGCCACACTTCTCAGAGTAGTTCTGATGAAATGAAATTTGAACTTGGAACCAAAAGTCAGTCCCTATTTGACTGACAGGCTGAATTTTGTTACAGTTCAGCAAATGTTATTACCCGTGTTTACATTCTTAATAAAATCAGCTGCCTTTTTTTATATACTGATCACGTGCTTTTCCAAACACATGCTTTAACCACCAATTGGAGGCTGTTATTTCCAGCTGGGGTTAACTCATATTCCTTGTTGGCAATATAAAGTAGGTCAGGCTTATGTGATAAAGGTCGATGACACTCTCATTATAAAATGATACGTGGATGTTAACTATTTAATGAAATGCAAACACATGGATTTTTCCTATTTCCTAAATGTACAACTTCATTAGTATTTCATAATCAGGAGGATTAATTATGAGAGAGAGATGTGTAATTTTAAATCAAGGAAGTTGTTAAGCTAGTTGTTTCCCGTATGTTTCCTCCTTAAAGGAGCTAAAATCAATTATCTTATATGAAATGCCTACTATGTGCATTTTTATCCAACTTTTGCTTTTGAAAAAATTAAGGCTCTTTTAAATGAAAAGCATTCACTGTGCACCTCACTCTTCTTAAGTGGAAAGATATATGTATATAAAACATTGTTTTTAGTGAATCAAGAGAAGATAAAGATCTTTGTCTTTTTTGTTCAATGTACATTCCAAGCACCTAGAAAATATCTGCCACTTAGTAGGCATTCAATACAATTGCTTCTAATGAATAAATGAAACACACACTCGATGATAACATTAGGCTAAGGAAATTCTCTCTCCTCATAACAGTATCCATTCTTTCCATTCATAAGTCACACCTAAAGTCAGGGGAATTACCTACATCTTTAGACAGAAATAAATAAGCAAATGGAAGCCGCACAAAAATCATTCATCATCTGCTCAAATTTGGAAGTCTCCACTCACGTGGCAGTTTCTTCTCAATTTCAAGCAACTAGGGGTTTATGTGGAATATATCTACGCCTTAAGTTAGACATAGCTTGAACAATTTAGTCTTCTATTTGCTAACCTAGTCCCTAATGTTTACAATTCATTTTTTAAGACATTTTACCTTTGCATATCCCAGCATTATCATGCGCACCAGGACCACATTTATATGCACTCCGAGGGACTCATCATGGTAAATTTCATTCACCTAGAAACAAAAAAAGATAATTGCTAAAAGAAAGGAAACACTGAAGATTTCATGAGATGTACATATAAGCTGTGTAATCTCCACAAATAGGTAAGTAAATTGCTATTTTTAAATTGAGTTTAATAGCTGAACCCTGAAATGTAGTCATTTACTTTTGGCTTTGGAACAATCTTTGGATATGTAAATTGCTAATTCTGTAAACTCCACAGTAATATGAACGTACAGGATATGCTCAAAAGGGTCTTGTTATACTAGTGCGGTGTTAGAAGGAGTCTACGTATGATGTAATCCAAATATAACATTAGCCAAAAGCAACCACAGGAAGGTGACTTTGGCAAATCATTTGCTAGCCTGTGAGTTGCCCGCAACCACAGTAAAGGAAAACAGCAAGCATTTGCCTACTGGGGTGCCTCTGTGACAACTAGGGGTGCTACGTCTGGTTGAGAGATCCAATGGCGATGGGGTCTGTGTGCAGGAGCTGTGTTAGTGTATCTGAGAGCCAGCTAGCAAGTGGGGCAGCTGAGGCAATGACTGCTTGAAAGTGCTACAAGATAGAAATCCTCCAATATTTAAGTTACTAAGGAGACTCTACGAGTACCTATCAGATGAATGTCAGCCCTGGATGCAACTCTGAGTCACTGCTTTTTGTTTAATTTTGAAAAATTAGGCTGAAATTTCTTTTCTTTTTTTTTTTTTTTTCTGAGATGCAGTCTTGCTCTGTTGCCCAGGCTGGAGTGCCGTGGTGCGATCTCAGCTCACTGAAATTTCTAAAAGTGACTCGGTATACTGTAAAATCATAGATGTTGGAATAAGTGCAATCTCAGAGGTCGCAGTCCAACTCTGTTTTATATAGATGAGGAAAATAAAGCCTGTAGAAATTAACTGATATGCAAAACACACAGTGAGCTACTGGCAGATATGAATCTGAAGTGAACTGTAACTGTATCTTCTCATTAAGCTAGTGCAAAATTAGTGCAAATAAAAAATACTTAGCAACATGGCAAATGTTAGCAGGAAGGAGAAAGGTGGAGTTATCAGGCTAGAATGCAAAGTTCTTGGCTGTTTCCAAAAACAACGACTCGACTCTTGTTAAAAAGACTAAAAGAGGGATGAAAAACTAACTGCAACTCAGCTTCAGATCCGGGAGATTTGAACAGTAGGCACAGAAATCTGAAACCTGCACAGAAAAGATAGGCATAATCTCATAGAGAGTGGCTTTAAAAATAAATATAACTCAAGAATGACTGAAGAATGCTCTAAAACAAGAAACTCACAAATCATAGTATTTTGATTTGCCACACAGACCAGGAAGATTCAACTGAATTGTTTCAAGAATCCAACGTGACTGCACAGAAAACCTTAAAAAAATCAGGGTCTTGAATGTAGACTGAAAGCACACTTATTGAATTTGTAGGAGTCACAAACAAGAAAAGAACAGCAAAGGTGGAAGTAAAAAATCTGGCTAAGCTAGAATATGCTAGAGATAACAAAGTGTAACTTAAAAAGAAAAGATGTAAAGTCCTTTTAAGTGGAAAAATGCATGAATATACACACACATACATTTATACATATATACACATGCACGTGCACACACACACATACTCACATACATAGAATGGTAAGACTCAATTTAATACCTGCACAAGATAAGTCAAGCTGTGGAAAAAAATCTGCAATACACACTTGTATTGTGTAAGTGTGCAGGCAGATAGCTCATGCCCAAGTTGTCCCACTCTAGGCTACAGAAAACCTGAAGTATTGAGTGCATTTTTGTGGGCTGTCTTATGACAGAGGTGCTTGACAAAACATGAATATATCATGAGAAGAGCTAACAGCAAGGAGGTCAGAAAATGTGTCTTATAAAGAAGAGTTGGGGAGACATAATGGTTAAAAGCCTGAATGCCCCACATTAATAGTCTCAGATAAATCCTGGTTCAACCCCTCACTGCTTGTGAGACCTTTATTATTCTGAGTCTCAATAAAGCGGACATAATAAAAATAATATCTCATAGGGTTAGGGTGAGAATTAAGAGACTTAACTCACGCAAACAAATTGCTCAAAAATTTTATGAGTGAGAGGGAGGAAGGGGTTTTTAAGGATATTAGAATATAAGAAGTGGAAAAGAAAAACATAGAAGAATTAATAGCTATAGAAAATAAAACTTAAAACCATTCACATTATTAAAGGGGTGAATTTCAGCTTAATATAAAGAAAAAGTGAATGTTAGACCAAAGCTGTTGTTTCTTATGTGCTTTTTAGTCATGGGCTGATTCTCTTATCTTATGCCACACTTCATGCTGCCTAACTGAAAAGTGAATCAACTCTTCCACCCCTCCTCTTCTGGATTCATTATCTGATAACATATCCCTAACTTTATAGTTGCAATAAAAGTTAAAAGTCAACAGCCAGGCCTGTCACCAACACATTCATTCAGAGACTCATGTCTATCCCAAGAGGCTTCTTGTAAAGCAGCTGTTTCAAATTAGAAACATGGCTTTGCACACCACGTTATACCATGTACTTAGTTTAATGAAGTTGAAATGTAAAATGCACTTGATGTTAAAATAAGGTTGAACAATGTTAGTAAATAAACAAAACTAGATAATAATAAAACAAAACTAAAGAAAAGGAGACAGAAAGAGTGAATTAATTTCTGGAGAAGGAGAAGTAAGAAAGGGTAGGAGGCACTTAAGCCAATGCACATAACAGTGACAGCTACACTGTAACATATGTAATACATCAATGCTATAGGAAGCTCCTACATCAGAAAGTCTTAGAATAATAAAATGAAGGAAAGATGGGAATAATGACAAATAGCTTGTGATATTTGAGTTAGTATAAAATGTACATATGGTCATCCTAAATTAGTAAATTCATTTGTACTTAGTGAATTATAAATTAACACAGTGTCAAGAAAGTACAATGGACAAAATTATTAATCTCAATAGCAAATATATTATAAAATGAATAAAAGAGCATTTTTAAAATTCAGATTTACCATTCACCAAAATAAAAGTATTACTTAACAAAAGTCACTATTATGCCAGGCTAACTGGAAAACAGGGTGACCCAGTAGAAACCAAAATCAGTCTAAGAATGTTCTGAGTCAGCATGCATTCTGAGATTCACAAAATACGCATAAATTATCACAGGTAGAAATAATCAAATACAAGGGAATCACATTTTTACATAGCACAAAGTATTCTTTCAAAGTGGCAAATAACCAGCTGTCTATACTGTACAAAGCACTGTATCTTATTATTTTGATTTTCAAGGTTTAAAAAAGTTCCTCCATATTATTCACTTCTAAAATATATTTAATAATTTGACTGCTTTTCATCTTGCCAGGCCCTATCAATTCCTGAGATGTACTGTTTTTATATTCTGAAATACATAGAGTATGATAAGAGTTGGAGAAATAATATAGCACCATATTATTAGATATTTAAAACCCTGGGTTCTGTTCCCAGCTTGGCCATGAATAAACTGAGTGATCTTTGGTTGGTCATTTAACCTGAGTCTTGCTTTTCTTGTTGACAAACTCTAATTTTACTTGCTTTGTCTGTTTCACAGTGTTGTTGCTCAAAACAAGCAAGATGCCATATAACTATACTCAGCAAAATACAAAGTACTTGAGCACCTATCCCCCATCCACGCACAAAGTTTAAAAAAAAATTGTGAGTGTATTTTCATAATCTACCTGAAAAGTTCAAGAAAAACAATTGCCCTAATTATAGTTTTTCCTGAAAGGGACCTCAAGATTCTTCTATTTGAAATTTGTTAAATCTCAATCTCATTGAAACACCTAGTTTAAATTATCAAGAAAATTATTGGGAAAAATCATTTAAAAGCTATTTCCAGCAGATGGCAGTATGCATGCTTCAGAGGGGCAAAGGACAAGCTGCTTCATACACCTGAATGTGCTTACATACCAGTCAGTATGTCAGTGTTTTCCTATATTTACACATAAATGAAACAATCTCCTTGAAATTAAATAAGAATCGTAAAATATCATAACCTGAGAAAAATGCTACGTTTTAAATGCTTACTCATTTGACTCTTAAGAGCAAAGAAAAATATTGGAAAAAATCATTATTTAGACTTTTTAAAATGTCATCTGATTACAAAATTACATAAGAGGCATAAGGAAATTCTCATGATCTGGCTGTTTTTAACACTCAAATAATATAGAGAAATAACTAAAAGGATATACTAAATTAGCAATTTGAATCTGTCAAGATGGGCTAAATTCTTATTAGGAAATTCTTAATAATTCTAAATAAATTCTTATTTATTAAGAAAGTAATTTTACAACTTTCAGTGAAAAGGAAAGTAACTTTTCTGAAGTAAAAGCAAAATCAACGAAAAGAACAGCTAATAATACAGAGAGCTTATCAGCTTCCAGACACTGCATTAAACACTTTACCTATACTAATTCAAGTAATCCTTGAAATAACTTTAGAGATATTAACTGCATTTTACAAGTGCAAAAGCTCAACATATATTAGAGAGCTCAGAATCCTATAGCGGACAGACGTTCTCATTGCCCAGAGAAGTTAAGTAACTTGCCTGAGATCACACAATTAGTACACAAGCAAGGGATAAAAATGAGCAGTCTGACTTCAGAGTCATAGCTATACCCATTTTGCTGTACTTCCACAGACCTGCAGGCCACAACACTGTCATTATACATAGGATGTGGTTTTAAATTCATCAATAGCGATTCTCAACCTTTGAGTTTAAGAATATAGTGTGGAAACATATTGAGAAAGAGAATGTAAAATTTGCAGCTTCTTTTCATAATCTTCCTTAAGTAAATTTTAAGCAAATGAGGAGTCAGAGTTTAAATTTAATATAAATAGGATTTATTGATGACCAGTATGAGAGTATTCCACAAAATAATGAGAAGAAATAAAGAGGAGCTAGAGAAGAAAAATGAAACAAGAAAAGAAATCAAGGGTGAAATGTACAACCAGTGTTTTGGATTGCAAGAAAAGCA